GCTTTGCAATTTGGATGAGGGAAATTAAGTGTTAAATGTTCAAAAGAGTTGTAAGTATTAACTACCTTGGGAGTAATCAGTAAGTCAGACTGAAATATTGTTGCTAATCCTCCTCCTCGCCCAGAACTTCTGGGTATGTGAAAATTTAAATAGCTTGAAGAAGTGTCCTCATTTATACTACACATAATCCTCCTGCTGCAGCCACGTTTCTGTAAGGCAACATAAGTCAATGTGATTATCACAAATCAAGTCATTAACTAGCAGACTTTTAGAGGAAAGAGATCTTACGTTAAACAGACCACATTTAATTAACCCTTCTGAAACAGTTTATTAACGCCTAAATTAACTGAAAATGCTGAAATCTGCCGACCAAGCGCCTTTGCTTTTATTATCCTGGTGCCTCCAGTTTGGATTACGTTAATGTTGCAATGCAGGATGGTAATCTGGATGAACTGACTGCACTGATGAACTTTTCAGGTGGACTTTCCCACTTAAAAACATATTAAAACTAGTTTATTCCCACTGATCACAGCAAATATAGCTGCAAGGCCAAGAAAGGATAGAGCAGGGAGCTTGAAAACCTTAAACCACTGATAACTTGCATGCAAACCATTCCATGTAGCACAGCTGAGTGTGAAAGAGGTTTCAGCTTAATTAACAATATCTGTACAGATAAAAGATCTTCTCTGTTGTTGTCAAATATAAGTCATCTCATGATGATCAGTATAAATGGGCCTCCTGTTAATCTTCTTGAACCTAGGAAGTATGTGACAAAATGGTTAAGAAACCACCGCTCTGCAACAGAAACAAAAAGACAAGTAAAACATAAGGAGCCTCAAAACAAACATGTCTGGAACATTTTATAGACAGTTTAAACCTGCATAGTACTGCTGTACTTACATGTAGTACTTGATACTTCAGGATGTTTTGTTGTACTCTTTTATAGATTGTATGTCTTTTCAATACAAAGCCAACTGTAGTACAGTTTGTTGTTCATTGATTCAAATGTAAGCAACAGAAAAATTAAGCAATGTTACATATGCTTAAAAATAAAAAAAAAGGTCAATTACATTGCACTTACTGGCGTGCTTATTTCTAAGCACAGTATACCCACTACAATAATGTAGACTACATCACTGCTTGCAATGTACTTTTAAGAACACATGGAAAGTATTATCGATCTGTTTCTTTAAATATTGTCTTGTTAATTTCGTCTGAATTGTCAAAAATTTTTATTGTCATTTTGATATGACTAATTGCAGTCTCATTTAAAATTTTCATTGAGACCCAAGGAGAACTATGCAAATTCCTTGACATAGCTTAATATCTTCCGGCAGGTTTCCCAAAGGGACTCTACTGAGAAGCTGGCTCACCAAGTCACGGCCCAGATTGCTGCTCCTTATTGCTGGGTTAAAGAGACCCCAGGTGACCCTTATGAGGAGGAAAAGGATGAAGCGCACAAAAGTAGCAAAGTCCACGTAAGGGGTAAATATTTTGCATAATAGCACAATGAAGTGGTCTTTAACAACTGTATCAACCAATATGGGAACTTGTTAAAAAGAGGTAAACCTGCCAAACCCTAACACTTGTAGTTGAAATATCCTTTTCACTCTTGGTGTCAAGTCACAGGACAGAAGGACCCACTATTAAAAGCAAGACAGACAGTGGGATAATTCAAAGTGTTTTTGTAAATAAGAGCAGGCTGAAAATCCATTGTCTTTCACTGGATTTTCTGCAGGAGAGCACCATAGGTTAGTTACCATGATAATCTGACAGAGGATGATTATTCATGTGAGTCACTAACCTGGTTAAACAGTTTAGTCCATCACCAGAGAATGTGGTAGGATCCAGCTGGTGGGCTGCCAACAACATGCAGTGGGCACTGCCTAGATACTCCAAGATGCAGCAGCTCCAGAGAACAGCGGAGCAGACTGTCACTTGTTTTCCTGAAGTGGACAGCGTTCTGATAAGTTGAATTGTTTCCTTTTTCTCTCTTTGGTTCTGCCCTATAAACTGATTGGTTGTGCTACTGGAGGCTTGAGAGCATCTGTTAAAGAAATACATTCAAAGCCCAAGAATTAGAAGCAACGATGTTCATTATTAAAAAAAAATAATGATGAATAATAATAAATATTATTTATAGTGCACTTAAAAGTGCTTCAATGTGCTGCAAACAAAAGTAAAAGTGGTGAGAATTTAAAAAGTTTAATCTAAGTTTACCTTGAACGACATTCCATTGACAATGATGTCTTGTCATGATGGGTCTTAAGCGTTTTGCCCACATGCAGAAGCACTCACACAGGCAGGGAAAACTTTAATAGTTTATTGAAAAACACTGGAGCATAGAGAGACAAAAACAACTGGTTTATCAGCTTGAGGAAATCCAGCAGTCTGGTGAACCGGAAACGGAATCTCTAGGAAGAGATCAGAGTGGTGAGTTCAAGTTCTGTGGGAAAAAAGGCTGATACTGAAAATAGCTTGACAAGGACTCACTTTTGTAGTTCTTGCAGTTGCACCAAGGTTCCTGTTTGTGGAGGCTTGCACTGTTATGGAGATATTTTGCTGGAGGGAGGACAGGCAGACTATGGTAGACCTGAGGAGCAGCGGAGCAGACTGTCACTTGTTTTCCTGAAGTGGACAGCGTTCTGATAAGATGAATTGTTTCCTTTTTCTCAGCATGACGAGAGGGTTCCTTCCAAGGCTAGAAGGACCAGGCTTATCCAGTGGATCTGTAAAAATCCTGCCGGAGATTCACAAGAGAGATCTCAGAACAAACAAAAATTCAAAGTAGAGACTCAGCTAAACTCAGAGGGGCTAGAGTACCCACTACTGGCGAGGAGATGGTGACAGTCAGCTGCTCATATGCTCCTCAGATGGTGATAACCAACGAGCTGCAGGTGTGAGTAGTTGAGAGCAGGAAGAGGCCCTCGAGGCCAACAGAGGAACAATGGCACTATCTGGTAGATGCATGGAGACACTGAAAAAGAACAAAAACAAACCCCCACAAACTGGAACCCTAACACGCTTTACTTGACCCTGAAAAGATGTGCTCCTGCACCAATCTGCTACAGCCTTATCTCTAAATAGGATGCTGTACGGTAAGAGACTGATTATAGAATAGGGCTGGTCCTCAGAAACATTTGCAACCACTGTAAAGTATTTTTTTTACAGTCCATCAATGATTACCTCTGTCTGGTAACAACTTACAGGTCACTGATTCTTGAAACTTTGGCAAAAACCTGTCCCACTGAGAAAAGTGCTAATTCTGTTGAAAATAAATAAAATTTTCATCAATTAAAATAATCAAGGTTCTAATCAGGGGGTCCTTTGCACATATCTACGGTTCTTTTAAAGGTTTATTTTTTCTGAAATTAATTTGATGATTATATGCTGGCCTGTTGCCTACAAAATCACTTGTCGTTGGATAGGAGATAATCATTTCAACTTGATTAAAAAAAGTAATAACTGAATTGAGTAATATGTTTACCAAATGAAAGAGTACATTGTAATATGTATTTAAAACTACAGTTAGTTTTGAATAATATTTACTATTATTTTTGTGATTGCTCAATGTGTCCCACATATTTTTGTCACCACCGTCAGATATTTATAAAAAGCAATAAAATCAGGTGACTAAAAGGTCAACTACATTCCTGAGGACCCCATTTTCAAATCTTCAGCTCTACTGCATGCTTAAGTTCACTCAAGCTCCTGAAAGTTTGCTATTTTCTCTTTAATTTGTTCATATCTTTGGACACTGCTAGTGTCACAACCATAACATGTCAACACCGTCTCTTTTGTATAAAAAATATTAGATTATGACATCAATGTTTACTTTTTAAGAAGAGGTCTAAAGTAGCTAGCAACAGAGGGGGAAACAAGATGGCTAATGTGAACAACTCATGCATATCATTTGAAAGAGTAGTTTTTGTCACCACCATCAGACGTGACAAAACCTACAAATGGTCCTCAATGGAGGCTGGAATATAATTGTTGATCTGTAATGTTTCATTAACCTCTTTTATACTTTTATTTATGTTTATGTATGTAGGGGATGAGGAGTGCCTTCCCTCTCTCTCAATTCACTATTATGCCATGTTCATTTGGCTTACGTCATTTAGGATTGACATAGTGCGTCTACTACCTACCTACATAGCACATACAGTAGTATACAATATCCCTTGTAAGCTGTGCATCTCCTATGACTAACGCCTAATAAAATGGCATGACAACATTTAACCAAATCTAACAAATACTGTAATTAACCCCAATTTCATAGTCATTTCACTCAACTTTGGTGAAGGAAGGGAAGATAAAAAAATCTGTGACTCAGTTCAATCAATGACTTGAATGAAAGGGAAAAGAGAAGTCAGAGAAAGGCTTGGAAACGTAGACAACAAGTATCAAGTCCAGTGGATCAGGCCATACACAAGACCAGAGTAGACAGGTTGTAGCAGGAGTAGAGGACACTAGATGACAGTTTAAGTTGATTAGTCAGTGATGCATTGTACATTATTCCTACTGGTAATTACTTAATTTTTTTCTATGATGATTTTGTATTTGATGATATGGGGATGGGGTACTTCTAATAATGATACTGCTTAATTGTACTTTATATTCCTTGAAAAAAATGTTTCACATTGCTCACAATTGTTATTTTTCAATAGTTTCAATAGTTTACAATAGTTAAATAAAGTTAATAAGCAAGAAACCATTGACTTGAGTTATATATAGTTTTAATCAGGGGTGGACTGGGACAAAAAGTCGGCCCTGGCATTTTGGACTAGACTGGCCCACCACATTTTTTTGGTGTACTGAATGTGTATACTAACTGTGCAATACCTTGAGGCCAGGTTCATGGAAAGTAGTGAGTGGACACTTAAAATACTTCCAAAATCTTTATTTATTAACACTGTAAAATGTAAACTCCACCACAGCACAGCAACAATTCTTAGATGAGAGAGAGAGAGAGAGAGAGAGAGAGAGAGAGAGAGAAGTCACAGTCAACCACACAAATTATCAGAGGCGTACACAGACATTTTGGGGGGCAGGTGCTCAGGAGGGGGGGAGGGCACTTTTTAGCGCACGTGTAACACTTAATTATAAAAAAAAATACGCACGCATGTTGAATGAATTTTGACTTTTATTTGTAACATTCTCTAAATGTGAGTTTTCAATGGAAAAAAGTCACATCACCAACAGAACAGACTAAAGTGTACCACTTTAAAGTAGTACGCTTGCTCATCTTTCTTCTTCTTTCCTCTGGCCCCTCTCCCTTTTTTCCCTCCCCCATCTGTTCTCCTTCATCCTGGTCTTTTTCTGTCTCTGTGTCTTCCCTGAACTCTTCCTCATCTCCTGTCCTGTTATATG